CTGAGCATATTTCTAACATTTTATTTAAGAAATCAATATAAATGTCTTTAGATATGCTGCATATCAACCTTGCATATTCCTTACAAGGTTGTTTCAAAAAGTTCATAGAATAGAATTGAAAGAAGTTAACGTTGTTGCAAAAAAGTTTGAAATCCAAGAATTTCCCAGAAAATGCATATTATGAAACACTATCCATGGATCTCATTCTTTCAGCAAAATAAACTCACCTTACAATAAATGATAATACCACCCATGGAACCACTATCTAATTTTGTTCTATCAGTTAAAAAAAATTTTTTTTTCTGCATCTAACCCAAGACAACCTAACTTTTAATTTAGTTTGAAAAACCTGTCAATTACAGAGTGTAGACATTGTTGTGCTCCTGTTTGGGATTTATTTCTCCTTGTTCTGGAGGAGTTCTTATTACAGTGACAGAAGTAGAAGAAATGTGGCTGCAGTAGATAAAGTGGAATTATTTCACCAAGCAAAATCAAGATGAAGAGATGAAAGTAAGCAAGTATGTGATATGCTCAATGGGCCCTAGGGTAGCATGTACCTGCAGATGGCTTTTCATCCATTTCAGGATAGGACAAGCTCTGAGATGCATTGTATAACAGTTTTGAGCCATGCTGTATGCTATGCTCTGGGGATCTATAGCCTTTTCTCCTAAAAGCATGTGCTGTTCTGAAGTCATACAAGTTTACAGACAAGTGTAACAGTGTTATCAGGGTCATGAAAGGAGGCATGGTGCTGCGGAAGCCCACACTCAGCAGGGGAAGTGAGAGGTGCAGCTGGAGAAGTAGGGTCAGGTTAAGAAACGTCGACACCTGCCACTTCAAGGAAGTGAGACTGTATGTTAGAACAACTGAATAGTCAAGAGGATTCTGGGTAGGATCATGACCTGATGTCTCACTCATAAAGAAAACTCCCTGCAGTGAAGGTGAGAAAGACTAAGAGCAGACAGAAGCTATCAAAATAGTATGAGTAGGAGAACCCTAGACTAAGGCATTGGCAGGCATCCATGCACTCACTCTACAACTGTTATTGAGCAACTGTGGATTCCCACGTACTGTGATTGTGCTGGGGTGGGTGGATGGGCAGGTAGGTATAAGTGGCTATGAGGATAGGCAGGAATGTGAAAGAAAAAGCAAGCATTGTTGACAACTCTGATATGAGTCAATGAGTGGCAGAGGAAGGTGCCAGAGATTATGCTGAAGGCTCCAGTTTGGACATCTGGAGTACAGTGACAATCACTGATGAAGATCAGGTATAGGAGACACCATGATGGGATCAGTTTAGAACATGTTAAGAATGAGACATTGCACTGAGATGTCCAATAGATTCCTGCAATCTGGGATTAATGTGGGATTTGTCCTCTGTAGTAGTAGCCAGCAATGAGTAAGCACATGGAAGTAGTTAAAAATCATGGCTTTGGTGTTAATGCCCAGTAATAATGTGTAGAAGACAGGGGAGAAAAAAATTCTAGAAAATAAGGGGTAAGAAGAGACTATGAAGGAGACAGAGGGGGAAAAAACAGCAGAGATATAAGAAGGTGATCAGAAGCAACTAGAAAAGGAGAGTTTAAGGAGAGAGAAATCAAGTTTCTACCGCTGACAGGGGTACAGTAGAATGAGGAATGACAGAGACTATTGGCTAGAGTTTAGGCTGGCAAGAGAAGGCTCAGAGAAATAACCATCCATCACTCCCGCCATGGTGACACAGGTCAGGGTGCAGTGAGTGGTAGAGTGCCATGAAAGAATCGAGGATGGCAGATGTTCTGCAAAGAAGTCTGTGGCAATAAAGGAAGAGGGGAAGAGAGCAGCCTTAAGGAGAAGTCAAGTCTGCGATGTTTTGAAAGGGTGTTGGAGGTTTATTAGGAGCAGGGAGGAGGCCCACAGACAGGAAAGCAAAGGAGGCAGATGCCCCTGCAGAAGTTGAGGTGAGAGGCGACATGCGAAGAACATGAGTGGAAAGGATCTTCTCATCACCATGTGCTGTAGAGGCTGCCTTCTCTCTAGGCTCGGGGTCATGCTTTGGTGTAGAGCTGAGGTTAGAGTTGTGTTGTGTTCAGGGGTGAATGTGAAGATGAGGGGTGGCTATCTGAAAAGGGCACAAAAGGGAGTGTTGCAAGTGGAAGGGAGGACAGGTGACAGCCTCCAGCTCCTCAGTGAAAGGAAGAGCAGGTGATCTACTGAGCATGACAGGGCCAGGGGTAGGAAAGGATTCTTATCTCAGAAGATAAGTTGCATCTTGCTGAGTGGTGCTGAAGGCTTCCAAAACACGCAGTGGCGCGGAGCAACTCTCCCTTGAGTGTGCAGGTGAGAAGTCTCTGGGAAGGAAAAGGCAGATGGCTGAGGCAGTCTCGATGCGGGGTAAGGAGGGTGTTCATGAGAGTGACGATGTAGGGGTGGTCAACAGTAGGCGACCAGACAGGCATCCATTTTGCCCTTCAGATTTTGGCACCAAGGAACCAACCTCCCAGTCCCTTGCCACCTGCTGAAATTCTTGGCAGTATGTGACAGACTTTGCCTGTGTACACCAACTTGCTGGCTCAGCTGGGCTCAGCTGTGCTGGGGAAGTTCAGGCTATGGGATACTTTGAGCCTCTTTCCTGGAAAGAACTTTGCGGAAGGGGAAGCAGGCCTGCAGCAGAGTGTCTCATGGAGCCTATGTCTTGTAGTTCCCTTCTGCTTTCTAAATTATCCACCATCAAGATACACCTTTGATACTCTGTGATGGGTGCACTTTCCATGTTTGTTAACTGGGAGGCAGGGAGAGTGGCAGAGGAGGAATTGAGGCTAGTGTTGATAAGGAAGCCTTCTGTTGGAAAACTGTGGTGAGGGGTGCTCTAAGTCAGGGAGGGGAGGCCCGTGTTGACACTCCTTCTTGCCTTCAGTATACTCGTGACTTGGTCCCTTCCCACTCTCATCAGGGAAGCAAGTGATCAACAAGCACATTTTGGGGGCACACCAAGCACTGGAAGCTAGGCCATCTTTCAGGAACAGGGGGTGGGGCAGCTTCAATAGACATCATAAACAGGAAACTCAATCTCCAAGATCTTTCCTCATAAAGAAATCCTTTGGAACTTACATAATCCGACCACATGAAGATATTCTGGCTGCTTTCTGAAGCAACAGGGACTTAACCAGATAAATTCATTGAAAAATATTTTGAATATTGCAAAACAATCTGGTCTTGCATGATGTTGTTTCCAATAATGCAAGGTTTATTTTGAGAAAATGCTTGCTGCCAATATAAATTGGATGCCATGCACTATAGCAGTAGGTTCCTATTACAGCCAAATACGTTATAATACTGATAACACACAGGGCTTACTGTGTGCTAGGTGCTTTTCTAAGCACTTCATGATTCTATAAATGCCTTTAATTGTCACCAAACTGTCTACAAGGTCTCATTATTCCAATGAGGAATTGGAGACACAGAGAGGTTGAGTAACTTGCGTCCTCCCCTACTCGCCCAGCTGGCAGTTGGTGGAGAACTGTTTGCTTGTTTTATTGTTCCCAGCTGTTTCCACCCAAAGGTAACTGAAATAATCTAAGGAATTAGGTCAATAATACTGCAATTGATGCCCGGAAATTAATTGCCTGCTGCTACCACCCTTGCCCACCTCTGCCATTAAGAACCCATTGTGTGTATTGTGTTTGTGTGTGCGTGCATATGTTCAGAATACTAGACTTGAAGACACTATTGTTTTGGGATCACCACAGAAACCATTTTGGCAGGCTCGTAGGGATTCTTTTGCCCTCTAAACAAAATGGTCATGCAGCTTTATTTAATGTTTAGCTCTTGAAGCTGCTGGGCTAAGGATCCATTTAGCATCGTGATGCAATCAGTCCAGGTGGGATTTGTGCCTGTCTGAGTCCCTCCCTGCACACATGTGCTGCTGTCTGTTACCAAGTTGTTCCCCTGCAGAATGTCCTGTTACATAGGCCACAGCTTGGCTACTTTTTTCACTGGGTTTGATTGCCACCTATTTAAAACATGCTTCAAAGCCATTGCCTCTCCTGGAGTTTCCAGGATCTGAAGAAAACCAGCTCTGACATGATGAGGCTCCCTGCCTGTTTTCCCTGCCAGCCCTTCTCCCTCCCCCCATGTCCCCTTGAAGAACTGAAACACAGGGAACAACTATGCCTTGGCAGCCAAGAAGAATTTCAAACTCAACTGGGCTTCACGACACACTCTGATTTGCATAAAGGCATAAAATGCTAGAACTAGATGGACCAAGCTCAGTGTTTCCATATTTGGATAATATTTTGTTTGGGTTTTCCCAGTTGAGGGGTAACCAGCCATAGATTTTGGGCACAGAAGAATGTCATCAGAACAGTTATTCCAGGCCGTAAGCCATTGGTTCATGCCACTATGCCACTTGGTGACTGCAGGTGGCCATGCTGGGGAAAAGGCTGCTTCCGGTTAATATCGTAGTTTAATGACTAGGCACACAAGGGTTGTTGCATACATGTTGGCTAAAATTAATGTAAGGAAGTTAACTGTTTCTCTTTGTTTTTAAAAGAAGCTCAAGGCACTCTCTCAGTTGGATAGCTTAGTTGCTAAGACCAGGTGGCAATAGAAGAAGACTAGTTGGGGTAACTCAACACATATGGGTGGGTGTAAGCTGTGGGCCTATTTAATCATTACACACTATATAGCACTCATTCTTTCTGATGCTTATCATCTGCATATTCCCATCACTCCTCATATTTAGTACATGTCAAATAACATGTACCATATGTGTGGATCTTTCCATGTACCCAGTGAAGCCACTCCAAAGGATATACCATTGACAATCTCATACCCTACCCAGTGTTGGTTGATAATGACTACTCAACGCTAGTTCATGCTGTATACATTGTAACAAAACAAACAAAAGTCCTGCAAGATCTGTCCCCATTGCTATAGTTCCTTTTCTCCTTTTCTTCACTCAATAGTCCTGGAACTTCCTACCACTCTGGTCTTGTCTGGTTCGGGTTGGGGGAACTTACCACGGTGCAGCAAAGGGGCCAGAACCACCAAAGCAGCGCCAGGGCCAGGAGCAGGAACAGGATCAGCAATGCGATCGCCAGGATGGAGCCATCAGACTGCGGGAGAAAGAAAGGCAGGCTGTTCTAGTAGCGAATTGGCCATGCAAGGAGTTCTTTCCTCAGACCCATCACCCCCAGGCAGATCTGAGAACCAGAGAGGAGTTCAGTCGGCCAAGCAAAGGGCTGAAACTCATCACTTTGGGGCTCATAGCCCCGTTGCTAATTCTGCTTAGCCAGTTTTCAAGAGAAATGTATTTGTCTGTTGGAAGACTCTTCTCTGGGAGAGATATGTGGAAGGACCAATGCTGTTAGAGACAGAACAGGTACCAAGATGCCTCCTATGCCACAGATGTCCCTGTGCCCAAAAACATATGCCTGCCATGTGGCAGCCACCTTCTTGCAAGGCCTGATGCTACTTACCACCTGGGCTGCCCCAGGGCCATGGAAGGAAAGTTGAGATGCCACAGAAGGCAGGTGAATCCTGGAATGTAAGCAGGATCCCTGCTGCTGAGCTTGGGAGTTGAAGCTTGGGTGGCTGAGTTAGCATCAAGATCAGACCAAGTGCTCATATGGTAAGGAAGGCAGCGAAGGAGGCATCCAAGATCAGTTTTATCCACTCCAAAAACATGCCCAGTCCAGTCATGAAAACAGACATGGATGCTGTAGCTCGGTGTGGTTGCTGACTAAGTAAAGAGAAGTCCTATCAGACACTAGTAATCTGAGGTTGCTGATTCAAGGAAGCCACTTGAAAACATGGTCTTAGTCCCTCCACCCTCCCTTTCCATCAGCTACCTGGAATGCAAATTAGCACAGCATTCTAGGGGAAGAGAGAACAGACTGATACAAGTATCAAAACCTCCCTCTCAGTAGCACTGGCAATTCTATTTTCACCTCATGAAAAGAATCAGACCTCCTTACAGAGAAAACAACCATAACACAAAAGGAGAGCAATATTTAACAATGAGGGAGAGTTAAATAATGCGTTATGGGAGTGTCATGCAGTGGTTACCTATAAATACACTGTTGTCAAGTAAGATTTAAATGACATGGAAAAACATTCCTGTGTAACAAATGGATTTATGAACATACAAATGTTGACAGAAAGACCTTCCTCTGATATTTACTAAAGTAAACAGTGGTTTTATTGGTAGTGGGTTTAATTTTCTCCTTTTCATCTGCATCTCACCCTCTCCTTCCCTCCCTGCCTTCCTTCACAAGCAAATCAACTGCTAAGTCTCCACCAGCCCAGGGATCCCTGTCCAGGGTCAGTGGACACAAGGAGCAGAACAGAAGCCTGTGATGCTCCTGAAACAACACCCTTGGACTTGTGTCTTCAGGAGGATAAGGCGTGCAGCACTCCTACATTCTCAGAGCTGTAACACCTGCCATATTTTTAGAGGAGGGAGGTTGGTTGGACTGTTCAGGGTGGCAGAGTAAGTTCAGGGCAGAGCTGGGATGTGACCCACTCCCACTCACAGTATACATCAAGGATGACTGGAAACTATTAAAAGGCAGTTCAAACTCCCTGGAACTCCCTGGAACGTGTTTGACTGAAAAGCCAGGCAGCCAAACACCCCCCCAGTTCCCATCAAGCCAAGGCTTGGGAGAGCCAGATGGACCCCAAGGGAACTGCACCCTCTTAAGAGCAGGTGTAGGGTGAGGCATCTCAGGGCAGTGGGTGAGGAGGAGGGCCAGGGGCCTGCTGGACAGACATGGCAGTGGTAGAGGGGATACTCATGTATAGAGCAGTTCTGTAGGTGTGACAGCAGAGAGCAGTGTCTCAGAGGTGACACAAAAAATTCACAAGTGTGTTTCCAACTTCCTGTTAGTTACAGACAACCCTCTTGACCACTTGGTCTTTACAGTCCACATCCTTCACATGGAAGTAGACATCCTGCCTCCTGCATGGAAGCAAGCAGCTACTGCCAAGCAGTTGGACCTAAGCCATCTTCTGAAACATGATCCTGAAGCTCACTTCCCTCTATTTCCTCCTCAAAACAGAGATGCTTGTTGCTATTTCAGATTGTTGATCTGTTTGCGTTTGGAATTCAACATGACTTTGGCTCCTATGAGTTTTTTAAGACTTAAGTCTTAGTAAAAACCATGGACTCTGTTTCTTCTCATTGTACATAACATCTTGCCCTGATTTTATGCTTTCACTTTGGTTAGAGGAGCCAAACAAAAGGACCAAGAAATTCTGGGAATGAGATTTTCACTTCATTTCTCATGAAGTAGAGAGGGTGCCAGACCAGGTTCCCTAGGGTGGTGAGGTGGGAGGCTTCCACACGCGGTGGACTTCCTGGAGGAATCAAGGGCTATCTTTTCTCCAGTCCAGTGGGGTCACCCCTTGTGAGTCACAGTCCTGGTTGGTGGTGGTGGAAGAGGACAGCTGTGGGTCAGGGGATGCTGGGGGAATGGAAATGCCCAGGAGAAGGAACTCTAGCAGCCTGAGAACTTTCTCATGCCCTGCAGACAGCATCTGGAAACAGTCCCCAAGATGTTACCTGGTTTTCAAGACATTTCAGAACCTTTTGTAACCCAACTCAAAAGAATACCTTTGAACCACTGAACAAAAAGGGTGGGTTTTGTTTTCAGTAAATCTGGTTTTAGGGTGTGATAACACAATACACGGTGTCAGATGTTCATTCAGTTATTCACTTAGCAAATGTTAACTGAGCATCTATTCTGTGTTCAGTGAGCAAACCCTGGAGAAGCAAGATTGATTAGAAGCATTCAAGGGGCTCATGGCTGTTCAGGGAATGTTTAGCCAAAGGTGGAAGGAAGTGTGCCCAGTACCTCTTATGGGTTAGGCAGTGCATATAATGCTAATGGTGACAATCGTAATTGTTATTAGAGTAACTAATATTCATTGAACATTTACTAAAATATGGTTTCTGTGTATTCACATGCTTTTCAAATGCTGGCCCATTTTCTTCTCATTAACAACTGAATGAATCCAATAATACTATTCTTTGTTTTATATAGATTTGAATACTGATGCAAGGAGAGATGGAGAAATTTGCCAAAGGTCCCACAGGGGAAATCTAGATTTCAATGAAGACAACTTGGGTCTACAGCTTACAGGTTGAACCAGCAGGCTACTGCTATTAAAAGCTGGAGGGGTGCTAAGTGTCTTAGAATGCACATAGCAGAGCCTGCATCCCTTCCCTCCCAACCTTGGCTCTGCTGCTGCTTCCATACTTCTGGTCTAGGGCATATTGCCTTGGCTCTTTGGGCTCTGGCTTCTCACTTCTCACCTGCTCTCTGGCTCACTGTCTGCTGGATAGCCTATGCTAATGGTCACCTGCTCTCTAAAGCATCTTCCTGGATGCCAGTCCATGAGAGTGATGGGCTGTCTGCTTACACTTGACCTCAGAAATGGTATGTGGTCTTGGCCTCGGCTCTCCACTTTCACTTTCACAGGCGATCCATCCTGGAGCTGATGGGGCCAGTAGTTCCCAGCAGAACTGTGCCTACCCGGGACCCATTTCAGGTAGCCAGCTGGTGAGGCAAGCTGGTTTCCAGGCATTTGGGTTTTCTGGCTCCCAAGTTCAGCAGGAGCATCCCCCCCCGCCCTCCATTAAGAGGCAAAGCTTTTACTCCAGAGTCTCTCTGGAGGTCCTGTTGGGCAGGGGAAAGCAGAGCTGGGGGTGCAGGAAGATCTGATTCTATGACACGAAGTGAGCCCAGACTAGGACTCTCCCAGCAGCATTGCAGTGTGTGACACGTAATTCACAAGCCTTCCTGAGAGACTGAGAGTGGAGAAAGGGAGCGGATAAACAACCCATGGTTGGACCTGGTGCTGCAGCCTAGTGACTAAAGTCCTTACGCATATGCGTGCGGGTTCTAATCCTGGCCACCCCACTTCCCATTCACCTCCCTGCCTGTGGCCTGGGAAAGCAGTTGAAGACAGCCCAAAGCTTTAGGACCCTGCACCCACGTGGGAGACCCAGAAAAGGTTCCTGGATCCCGACGCCAGATTGGCTCAGCTCTCGCCATTGCAGCTGTTTGGGGAGTGAATCAACGGACAGAAGATCTTTCTCTCTGTCTTTCCTCTCTGTATATCTGACTTTCTAACTAAAAAAAATCTAAAATTAAAAAAAAAAAACTACCCAAGGCTGACTATTAACCACTGTTATTTGCCTAGCAGCTTCAATGTTGGCACAAGTTAAGTTCTTTTATTTACAAAATGGAAATAAAGTTGAAGAAAACAACATGGCCTTTGACAGGAGATGGAGGAGGGAAAGGTCTGGGGTGAGTGAACAAGGCTGAAAGGAAGCACTTGGTCGAGGGAGCATCTTCCAGGGTCGAGGGGAGGGGGGACAGCATCATACTTCCTCTTCAGGAAGTTTGCAGCCTTCTACCTCCTCTGCACCACCAAAGGTTCAAGCGTAAACTGCTGGCCCAGAGACACCACAAGGCATGCAGACAGATGACATTAAACATGCAGGCTGCTCCTTCCTCTGAGCATGTGTTATTCACTACGACATTCCTTGAAGGTTGCCTGGCTTGAAAAGCCAAATCCCTCTGTTTCCAGCTCATGCAATGAGGATGATCCTTTAGGAGAAGGACGATGCTGTTCTCACTGGCCTTGGCTTGTAAGCCTGAGTAGTGCAAGTTTGGGAGGTGGGATCCAGGCAACATGCATTCCAGACATACGGCCTGTGCACTGGGCAAGGGCATGAGTCTCGCCTGGGCTTGTTTGCAATCCCATCAGAGGAGGGCCAGGCCTGTGGATGACCCAATGTGGAGCTTGTGGCTCCTTTCTGTTTTGTTGTGAGGGTTGCCATGGGAAAGGGTGAGGATGAAATGGAGAGGAACTGGTGGATGGCTGGTTCTGTGCAGTCGCTTTGTGGAATATTCTATGTCTCAAAGTGGAGCCTGTGCTGGAGTTCTGCCTGATATTGCTGGTGAGGGGTTAGCCTGTGGCCACCAAAGTGCCCCCAAGTCAGGCTTGGAAACTGACCCTTGGCGGGGGGCTGTTTTCTCCCAAGCCTGCTGTTCCCTTCCACGGAGAGTCCTCAGTGTGTGTGACCCCTAATAGCCCCTTTACTTGT